GATCATCATTTATCATACAAAGTTAAGACTTATTAACATTGAAGGCGTAAGTGTTAAATATAGGATCACGTTCTCCATTATAATTCTCATTTATTAGATTATGTCTGTGCTATGGTCTGAATGTCCCTTAAAATTCATGTGTTGAAACTTAATCCCCATTGTGGTGGTATTAAGAGGTGGAACCTTTTGGGAAGTGATGAAATCATGACAGCTCTGTGCTCATGAATGGATTAGTTCCTCATAAAAGGGCTGGAAGGAACTAGCATAGGCCCTTCTTGCCCTTATGACTTCCACCATGTAGGACACAGCATCAGTCTCCTCCAGAGGATGTAGCAACAAGGTACCATCTTGTAAGCAGAGAGAGCAGCTCTCAGGAGACAACAAACCATCTCGTGCCTTGGACTTCAGAGCCTTCAGAACTGTGAGAAATAAATTCCTATTACTTATAAATTACCCAGTCTGTGGCATTTTGTTATAGCCGTACAAATGGACTAAGTCAAGACAGTCTGCATTCAGGTCAGGAGTTAACTGTTAAATAGGGTAATAATTTTATCATTTCTACCTCTTGGAAGTATACTATTTAATATAATTGACATATTTTGTTTCCCTGCAATCTTTCGGAGCACTTAAGTCTTACCTGGTCAGTTGGAATTTTTTTTTTCTTTTTGTCTTTTTTCGTGTCCGGCAACAGATTGTAACCCTCGGTGTTGCGCCCGCACCTCGCTCAGCCAGTGAGCGGCCGGTCTGTATGTGGGATCCGAACCCTCGGCGGGAGCACCTCCAGGCTCCCAAGCAGCGCACTGTAGCAGTGCGCCACCGGGCTGGCCCAAACACTAAATTGTTATAGTTAGCTATATGTGTGCCTATCTCTAGCTAAACTTCAAATTCTCTCAAGACAAGTACAGCATATTATTCAAATTTACTTCTGCTCTCCATATACAAGGGGAAGACCTTAGTAAATACTTCCTAAACGACTTTATTTGCTGTTTCTAAAATAGTTGCTCACTTTGGAATTTAAAAATGGGCTAATGACCTTATATACGAACTATAAAATTTTGTGATAATTGTCCTAAAACGTTTGTCCTAAAAGCAATAATGATCAAAGGAAACACACTAACAAAAGAAAGGAGATGAACTTTTATCAAAAAATGATCCTCAAGGGCCGGCCCAGTGGCGCATTGCTACAGTGTGCCGCTTGGGAAGCGTGGCGGCGCTCCCGCTGAGGGTTCGGATCCCACATATAGACTGGCCGCTCACTGGCTGAGCGAGGAGCGGGGGCAACACCGAGGGTTGCGATCCCGTTGCCGGTCCCGGTCCGGCATGGACGCGACACTGAGGGTTGCAATCCGTTGCCGGTCACGAAAAAAAGACAAAAAGACAAAAAAAAAAGAAAAAAAAATGATCCTCAAAATAATATGAATCTAAAAAGTATAGTTTATGTTGAACAGAGAATT